CCTCTCCCCCCACATCCTTGCCTAACTGCCAGTCTGTCCCCCAATCAGGCAACCCCATGCATCCCTGCCAGTCTGTCCCCCCACAGGATGCCATTTTTCTAGCTCCTCTCACCACATCCCCTACTGACTTATCAAGAGCTGTAATAAAGGAAAGGATCCATTATTAGAGCCACCCAGACCCTCTAAGTGCCAGGGAGATCCCAGCAGTGCCTCTCTCCCAGCCGGCTGCTTTATACTCTTGAGCCTCAATGCCCCCAGCTGGAGTCTGCCCCCTTCCTACTGTAGCCATCTCTGCTCTGATGGCAGAACCCAGGGGTCCTTTCCCTCTAGGTTTAGAGAGATTTAACCCTGACACCTCCCCTGAGACTGCCCCAGCATTAGGAACTAGGCACTGAGCAGTGTGTGTACGTGGAGTGATGCCAGGGGAGATGGTCCCACCGATTAGATCAGTCACAGCTGGGAGGGTGAGGTGACCAGCCCACTTAGCCATGGGCAGCACTGCAGGCTGTTTTGCCTCTAACACTCCTCCCTTTCCTCTATATCTCCAGCGCCCGCAGTGCTAGACAGGCCTGCCAGCCTGACCTGTGTCCATGAACCTCTCTGATACTTCCACAGAAACCAGACATAAGGAAATCCCTCTGTGCCATGACTAACCATCCCCCTATGGACTCCCAGGGCCGGCTCATTCCCTACAGCCCTTCCACCAGGGCTCTGACCTGCCTTGTCCTACGTGTGCCAAGCCACAGGGCCTCAGCTCCCCCACCTATGAGAGAGGATTTCACAGCACAACAAACCCATCAGCCACCGAGTCTTTCCTCAGCCTCCCCTGTAGGGACAGACCCCAACCCACATGGGAATAGGAGGAAGAGCTCAGACCCTGAAGGTTCCCCCAGATCTGAGAGGGGCAGGGAGAAAGGAAAAGACACCACCAGACAGGGCCCCAGATCCTAGTTCCCATGGGAGGGTCAGACCCCTATTGGAACAGGAGAGGCTCCCCAGATTGGAGTCAAACATGGGAGGTTATAGAGAGGAGCTTACGCACCCCAGAGGGAAAGGCCTCCTAGATCCTTGTTAACAAAAAAGGAGGGAGAAATCCCCCAGTTTTTGGCACACACAGTGAGGGACAGTGGAGGATGCCAGTAGAACCCGAAAATAATAGTAGAATTGACCAAATTCATTGGGGCACTGTAGCAGCTGACTGTAAACAACACAGGAAGGACACATTAGATTTGGGAGTCACATTATAACAATGCAATCCCAAGTGAAGGGGAATTCTGATCCTGGCAAACCCATGAGAGAGGAGAACATGGAGGTGATAGATGCTCCTCCCCAATTCTCCCCCGACCTCCTGCCACTCACACTTGTGCCCTCCCTTCCATTGTCCCTCTCCTTTACGCCCCACCTCTTCTCCCTTACCTGTGGCCCACCAACCAGCTCTCTCCCTTTTCCTGCCACCCAACCCCATTTATCCTCTTCCCCTTAACTCCTCTCCCCTCCTCCCAGCAAGCACTGGCTCATACAATTTATTTTCTTTTCAAACCTGGTTTAAGCACTGTCATGAGAGAAGCAAGCAGAGTCTAGTGATGGGCTAAGATGTGTGTGGGGAAGGTGGAAGAGTTGGGTGTCACGTGTTCAGAGCCTGCGCTTCCTGTGGTTTCTCATGGGGAGGGTCTGTGCTGCTTTGGGAGGTGAGCCCTGAGCTGCAAAGCCTAGTGGTCAGTCAGTAGCTGTTCTGTTCCCTCCCCTGAGTACCTGCTGAAAAGGATTCACAGCCGGGACAAGCCTGGCCAATGGAGGACGAAGAGGGTTATATGACATTAAACTTTCGTCTGAAGGCGAAAAAAGCAGAACGCTCACGTCAACCTGTGTTCCAAGGTAAGTGACTTACTGTCTCCCTGGGTATCCATTCCTGACTCTGACTTTACATGGTACCTTGCAGGGAGGAGTGAAGGAAAAATATCTATAGTGAATGGAAATTCTGGATGTGCCATTGTGACGCACCAGTGATGGTGCAGGGAACTGCAGGGGACAATGGCTAGAGAGGACAAAGTGGGGAGGTATTATCCGGTAGACGAGAGATTGCACAGAAAGGCTGGGCTCTGCCTCAATTAGAGTGAGATCAGACTCTTGGCACATGCAATAAATAGGAGTGGGGGTGATTATTTAAGGTAGGTGCTGGGGGAAAGCTGAAGAGTGTGAATGACCTTTTATAAAGTCAGACATTCATCCACCGGGGATGTGAGTAATATCAAAGGTGCGGGATCCAATAAAGGACAGGATGTACAGTACTGCTGCTCAGGAGTCTGGGCAGGGTAAAATCAAAACCATAAATTCTGTAAAAGTGCACCAAAGGATTTAAATAAAAATAGGCAGATGGTTAAAAGTAAAACTTGTACAATTCTATTCACAAACGCGAGAAGTAGCAAAGCAACAAACTGGTCAATTGGAATAGATGGTGGCAGAACCCAATAAATGGCTATGTCTAGACTACAATCTTCTTGAACATGAAGCTTTTTTCAGAAGAGATCTTCTGAAAAAACTTGTGAAAGAGACTGTCTACACAGCAAAAATGCATCAAAAAAAGCAATACAATTTTTGAAAGAGAACATCCAGACTGAATGGACGCTCTCTCACATATTAGCTGTGATTGCTATGGATGGAATGGCTACTAGGGAACCTGTGCTTTTTTCTCTTCCCTCTTCTTTCAAAAAAAGTCCCTGTCCTGCATCCACACCTGCCTTTTTGCATGAGCTCTTTCAGAAAAGGCTTCTTCCTCACAGAATGAGGAATACCAATGCTGGAAAACCCCCTCTGTTTTTCAAATGTACTGTTGAAAGAAAGCGCTTGCAGCGTGGACGTAACTCAAGTTTTGTAAAAAAAAACCAGCAATTTTTGCAACAAAACTCTGTAGTGTAGATGTACAATAGGCGGTAGAATTGTCCAAATCAATGGGGCACTGCAGCACATCACTGTAAACAATACAGGAAGGACACATTAGATTTGGGAGTTACATTATAACAGTATTCTCCCAAGTGCTCATAATACATATACACTAATACACACACGACTGCACCAGCCTCCTGACTTTCAAGGAATTTTTAATAAAGTCCCTCATAAGAAGTTATTAAGGAAAATAAGGACTCATTCACATGGGTCAATTGACCAGGATAGTAATTTTAAAAGTGATTTTTTCCCCCCAAAAATAATTAATTAAATTCACTTTGAAAGTGTACTACTTACTCTGGAAGTATTTTAACTGGAATAGAGTATCCACATGGAGAGCTATCTAGGAATAACCATCTGGACAATTTCCCTGTGTAGAAAAGCCTTAGATATTCATGGGGTGAATGGTAAACGACTAGCTCGAAACCGAGACTTGCAAGAGACAGGAAACAAATAGTAGGACTTAGTGGTCAGTTTCATTGTGACAAAAATTAGTAGGAGCTGCCATAAGGTTCTGCATTAAGCTGGTGTGTAATATACTCCTGACCTGGAAAGGAGGTAGGTCATGAGGCTGCGAAGATGAAGGATGCCAACAGATTCGTTAGATTACACCAAATTTACTGGGTCTGTTCAAGAGCAAGATCTGTGCTCCAACTCCATATAGAGTTGATGTGGGTATCCCCACCCCTACGAGCACCATAATACACAGGACTTCAGAGCCTTGCTCTTCTACAGAGGCATCTCTTCAACCTCAGAACTATAAAATCAGACACCAGTGAATGCCTCATGGACATGTCCTGGAATTAAACTGTTGGCAGTGCAATACAAACAAGTCCCATGAATGTAAGTTACCATTCCTACGGACAGGAGGCTACAGGCTGTGGTAGCTGAGATTGAAAGGGCCTTATTCTGCATACTTTATAGTGGCAGTTCTGGGTGTCCGGGAGCACATAATTGGGCTCCAACTTGTTTCAAGTTGCCAGACGAGGCTTGGAGCTAGGGGGAAGTGACAGAATCTTGCAGTACGTCTACATCAGGGCTGAAGAAGTGAGTTCATCTTGGGTATATATATCTGCAGTAGCTCAGATTAGCTAGTGCACTAAAAATAGCAGCATCGCTTGGGTTAGCCACCCTGAGTGCAATTCCATCCAAGTTGCTAGAAGCATTTCCACCCAATTACAATAACAGGAAATTCAGAAATGGCAGAGGTGCTTAACGACTTCTTTGTTTTGGTTTTCACCAAGAAGATTGATGGTGATGGGATGCCTAAAATAATAAATGCTAGTGGAAATGGGGTAGGTTTAGAAGTTAAAATAGGAAAAGAGCAAGTTAAAGGTTAGTTAGAAAACCAGGGCCTGATGAAATGCATCCTAGAGTACTCAAGGAGATGATAAAGGAGGATTCGGAGGAACTAGAGGACGAACCTTTAGCTACCATCACTGAAAAGTCATGGAAGTAGGGAGAGATTCCATAGGACTGGAAAAAGGCCAATGTCGTGCCCATCTATAAAAAGGGAAATAAGAACAAGCCAGGAAACTACAGAACAGTCAGTTTAACTTCTATGCCAGGAAAGATAATGGAGCAAACAATTCAGGAATTCATCTGCAAACATCTGACAGAAAATAAGGTGACAGGTAATTGCCAGCATGGATTTGTAAGGAACAAATCATGTCAAATTAATCTGATAACTTTCTTTGATGGGATAACAAGTCTTATGGATAAGGGAAAAGTGGTGGACATGGTATACTTAGACTTTCATAAAGTATTTGATACAGTATCACATGGCCTTCTCAATAAACTAGGGAAATACAACTTAGATGGAGCTATTATAAAGTGGGTAGATAACTGGCTTGATAGTTATCTACCCTGGGGACTAAGGAGTTAACTATACCTAAGCCAAGTAGAGTCAGCCAATAGGAATGAGCAGGGCTCGACAAATTAGTTGCCACTAATTTGTGTGAATAGATTTTAAGCCGGTGCGGTCACGCAGCGCGGCCAGCACATCATGCGTAGCGTGCGCTTCTGCACGGCTGGCAAGTGGGGCTTGCGGCTGCTTGGCAAGCCCTGGGAATGAGGGTAGGAATTTAAAACTGGGACAATGGAAATTTTGGGTTTTTCCCTCCTTTGGTCTGGGAAGTTTCTCTCCAGCTATTGAGGGGGACAGGCACTATGTCTCCCTCCAAGAAAAGACTCTTTACTATCTGTAAGTAGGGTAAAATTTAGATAAATCTGTTTTATGGTTTATGGTTTGGGAATGGGAATCTGATATCTGTGCATTTAGAAATGGGTTTGCTTTCCTTTGTAATTAAGTTCTAGGCCCATTGTGGGTTTTCCCCCATGAGTATATTAATTTGTGACTTTTCCATCTAAACATTATGCTTGCAACAGTATTGTGATGGTGATAAAAGTTCTTTCTCTTTCCTTTTTATTAACCTGGTATTGGTTACATTTTGTGTCTGGTCTCACCCCTAATTCACTTATCACTACTTGCGTGGTGGCAGCAGATTTTATCCCCCAAATCTATGTTTTTAAGATTCTGGGGAGAAGTTAATTACCAAAGCCTGGAAAGTTAAGGTTTTGGGGTACTTTTGTGGGCCCCACTTCTGCATTTATCGTGCTAGAGTGGGGATTTAGCCTATGACAATAACGATTCTTAGAGATTAGTTATTAATGGTTCACAGTTGTGCTGGAAGGGCATAAAAAATGGAGTTGCACAGGAGGCAGCTTTGGGACCTGATCTGTTCAATATCTTCATCAATGATTAAGATATTGGCATAGAGAGTACGGGTATTAAGTGTGCAGATGATACCAAGCTGGAAATGGTTGCAAGGACTTTGGAGGATGTGTAAACAATTATTTACACTGCGTTTATTAATAAGCAAAAGTGATTTTATTTATTAAGTATAAAATGTAGGATGGAAGTAGTTGTGAGTAAAAGCACATAGTACAGGCAGTCCCCGGGTTACATGGATCCAACTTACATCGGCTCCCTACTTACAAACGGGGTGAGGCAATCCCGCACTAGCTGCTTCCCCCCAGCAGACCAGGGAGATGCGAAGCTAGCGGCCCCCCCCCCCAGCAGACCAGGGAGACACGGAGCGGCTTTTCTCAGAAGACACCTCAGCTTGAGAATAAAGGACTGAGGGAAGTGAGGTGTGGGAGAATAAAACTGAGCTCTGGAGAAATGTTTGGCTACAGTTTCCCCTACAATATGTACCAGTTCCGACTTACATACAAATTCAACTTAAGAACAAACCTACAGTCCCTATCTTGTACCTTAACTACTGTGTTTTCTTTATTTTGCTTAGTAACTTATTTTGCTCTAAAAAATTTAATTACATGCAAATTCTTACCCTAACAGTAGTTCTAATCACCTTTTCTCACAAGCAAGAGAGCCTTCCAGCTTTGGCCTGATCCCTTTTCCCCTGTTCATTTTTAGATATTCCCTGGAGTCATCTTGGGTGGTAACAAGCCGTGTCCTGGCATCTTACACCAGCCCCTATTGTTTGTTTTCATCCCTTTATGTAGATTTTTCCCTATGCAGGAATCCTTTGTGTTCAGTTCAAACTTTTACTACTCTGAGGGCATGTCTGCAGTGCAGAGTTTTTTCAGAAAAATGGCCATTTTTCCAAAAAAAACTTCATTTATGTCCACACTGCAGTCATGTTCTTTCGGAAAAAAAATTAAAAGAACCATGGGGTTTTTCCGACATTGGTAAACCTCTTTCTACAAGGAAGAAGCCTTTTTCGGGTTTTATCTGATATTGATAAACCTCTTTCTACAAGGAAGAAGCCTTTTTCTGAAAGAGCTTTCGGAAAAAGGCGTGTGTGGACGGGGAAGAGGGAGTTCTTTCGAAAGACAAGGAAAGAGGAAAAATCATAGATGCCCTGGTGGTCATTCTATCCATAGTAATCACAGCTTACATGCGAGAG